GAAGGCTAATGACACGACAGGTGAGGAAGGTTGACAATTAGAAAGAGCACATGGCCAGGAATACACAGAAGCCATGTGCTCACATGAAACTAGACTAAACATAAACACGAGATAAACCAGACACTGTGACAAAACCTCTTTAAATTGAGATAAACAGATTTGGGTGAAAAGGGGCATTGTTCTGTTACAGAAGAGATGCTAACAGTTACAGAAATAATTTAAAGACTTTTTAAAGCTGTCCTGTTATCCGAATGGTTTTCTTAATAGGCTATATATTCTGATTATACATTGAAGAATAAAAAATAGGTTTGGTTTAACTTTATATTTGCATTTATGTATATGATATTTAGTGACAAATGTTTAGACTTCAGTTGTCTCGCAAATCAGACAACTAAATGAATCCAGCCCTTTGAAAGACAGGTACAGATAAAGCATTTGTGGATTGTGAACAAAGCAATGTGAGTTAGAACAATAATGCTTGATTGCTGTGTGTGTGTGTGGATATCTCGCGCACATCTGTGGATTGCTGTTTGTGTGTGTGGATCTGTCGCGTGCATTTGTGGATTGATTTGCGTGCGTGGAACTTTTGCGTGCGTCTGTGGATTGCTATGTGTGTGTGGATCTGTCACGTGCATCTGTGGATTGCTTTGTGTGTGTGTTTGGATCTGTCGCGTGCATTTGGGGATAGGTTTGCGTGTGTGGATCTCTCGCATGCATTTGTGGATGGGTGCGCGTGCATGCGGATCTCTTGCGTGCATTTGTAGATGGGTGCTTGCGCATGTGGATCTCTCGCGTGCATTTGTCGATGGGTGCTCGCGCATATGGATCTCTCGCGTGCATTTGTGGAAGGTATTGAGACCGTTTTCTCTCCATACCCATGCCTTTTCTTTTGCACTTACATTTTAATACAACAAATCTTGCATGTCACAAAGCACTTGTTTTTCCACCTCCACTAATGAGACGAGTGTCGTTCATGTTGCCTTGTTGAGGTAAATTGTAGTTTGTACGTTATACGGATACTGTATGATCGAGATCGTTATAAATATCCGGATAGGTTACAGATGGCAATAAGGACGGATCTTTACTTAAGCTTGATTGGTGTGTGGACCCACATCAAAATTAAATAATAGCATTATCTTCTCTTGATACCGACGAGATGAAGCTCCCCCTCAACTCAAATCTGCGCGCTGCTAAGGGCAGCAGGACAGATGTCATGTCAACAATATGGGCGTGGTTAGCTATTTCAGGTATTTGCGAATAAGGTCTATACACGCTTGCTTTGCTTACCGCTGCAAAACGGAGATCAACTCTTCTCTGCTCTAAACAGTGGTTGCTAGTGGAAACACAGGAAGTTGTGCTGTTGCCACAAGTAGGGGTGGGCGATATGACCAAAATTGTGTTTCACGATATGACTAATTTTATTTCACGGTAACGATATGAAGAGTTTGGTTCCAAAACGCGATAAACGCCATTTTTAAAAAAAATGAGTTACTGCAAAAATCTGACTTTTCAATACCGACCAGATACAAAACAATGTTTAATTTTACGTAAAATGGGATATCCGCCGTGTTATTATGTAATGTTTTCTCCCTTTCTTTCCAAACCGCGACAAACGCCAGTCTCCCTTTTCTGCAAAATGCCACATATCCGCTAAACCAATCACAACGCACCATTCCACGCAATGTAAACAGTAACGGCAGCGCTTTAACTAACCCGGCTTCCTAGGTTTTCTCTATTTTGTCCTTTCGATCAACAAACAAACAAAAAAATGAATAATTTTGACAGCATTGGTGAACCTGCGGAGGGTAAGGCATCCTGCATGGGTAAACGTGACATCGAAATCGAATCATTTACGTGAGGAAGAAGATGGACTCGGGAGGAGGAAATGACGGCTGTTGCTTGTTCTCACACGACAGCATCAAACTTCTGTCACGCTGACACACTGACCCCAGAGGATCTTTTGGAAAACTTTCAGTTGTTTTATTCAAAGTCAACGAAAACCGAGCAGGACCAAGCCAGTTTACAGCTGATCGCCGTCAAAAAAGTTCAGCGGCGACGTCCCAAGGTTGACAACAGCGATATGCATAACGTTAGATCATGCTTAATAAATCATAATTCATAATGATGTGCTCGTCTTCGTTAATGTTTTAATTAAGGTTTTGTTCATCCATGAATTCATGAATGAAAAACGTTGAACTGTTAAAAAAAAACGTTGTTAGTTCCTGATGATATTAATATGAATTAATGCATAATTCATTTATCCATGAATTCATGATAATTCATGACATGAACCCTTAAAATGTTACCGAATATTGTTATATTAAAGCAATGGATTTATAGTATGCACAAGAAATTCAATGTGTATAAAATTTTATTTTGATTAATTGCATTTTGAAAAAAAATAAATTATTGGATATATTGCATTTTGGGGGAAAAACGATCTGTTTTTATAATAAATCTTTGGAAATCAATGGATTTCATTTTTTATTCTTATTATAACCTACAAATGCTATGTGAAAATTTGAAACCGAAAATAGTGGTTTTCATCTTCCCATTTTCTTGCTAAAGAAAACACAGTTTTACTCAAATTCATCAAAATGGATTTATAGCGTTTTGGAACCAAACTCTTCATATATTTCACGATATAGTTATTTATATAGTTATCCTCAAAAAAAAAAAAAGACAAAGTCTTTGTATAAATAATAAACCCAAATTAGAAATGAAAAGTACGTCACCTTGTTTTATTTTTATTTTATTTGGTAAATTATTTATTTGGTAAACTATTTTTATAGCAAAATATAGTAAACAAAAAAGACTCATCAACTTTTAGATGAACTTCCCACAACAGATTTATATTAAATACAACTCATAGGTGCTTTTCAACTAATTTTTCAATCTTCTATGCAATTCAAAAATAATTTTTCAATCTCATGCATTGCTTTACTTCATCAATCAGTTTATAATTATATTATATACAATATAATTATAATATATTTTTACTGCATGTGCTTATTATACTGCGTTTTTAAGGGGCTTGTTTTGCTCTTTTTGTGATAACCCGTCACCCTGAGCTTTAATCAAGAGGAGTTCAGAAGTGTCAAGTTCATCAAGTTCAGAAGTGACTAGGAGAGCAGCAATATGAAAACCGAACAGCAGCTACTGTTAGTGTTGACTAAGTAGTTTAAATTATACACACCTTATAACAGTGCGTCGTTATTAGACCATAGCCCGGTAAACACTGCGCGCTCCCTCTCAGTGCATGTGCGCACGTCTTTTGCATCAACAAAATGCGATCGATTAATATGAGAATCAAGTTGTAATCACGGATCGAATCAAAGGAAGATTTTATCAACTGGTTCGGTAGGCAATTCTTTGTAGTTAGATATATAACTCGCGCTGCATTTAGTAATTTTGCCTCAGAAACAGGATTCGTTTTAACAAGCAGGATGTTCATTCATGCTGAATGCGATTTTCATGCTTAAAAATTAACTATACATAAGAGAAGGAAAGATGCGGATAACTATACATTATTTAAGGTTATTTCTATTCATAATAATATTGATATTATAGCCTATGAAATGTTATCAAGTAACTTAATGCTTTCCCCGTTGCGAACGTGCACTCCTAGCCTGGGTGCTGCTGCTGCTCTGCTCTAGTTGACGGCTGCCTTTCCCCCCGAACATATCACGTTAACAACAACCCTTTAGAAAACGGAATTCCTTTGTGGATCCTCTTGATCTGCATTCTCCATGTTTCAGTCTCACGTGCGCTGCACGGGAGTTAACCACGCCCACTTATTTACATTTCGCGGTATACACGAAATAAAAAAAATCTGTTACGACTGACGTTTTCTACCGCGGTAACGATATATATCGTCATGTCGCCCAGCCCTAGCCACAAGCAACCACTCTTTAGAGCAGCGAAGAAGAAAACGCGCGTGCGTGTGCCCTGGCATTATGTCCGCAGTTTGTATTTCAGACTGGACGAACCAGCCAGTAAAACGGCGATGTCTCATGCCATACTGCAAATTCGAGGGGTAGAACAAGTATTAGCAACTGCAACACAAGTAATTTAAGCATTTGAAGACCAGTCAACCCGCAAAACATGATGGCAGACAGAGGATGAGCCGCGTCACAATCTCTGAAAGCTTCATTAAGGCTATGTTTACATGGAAACGATTCTGAAGAGAAAACGCAAAAGTGCCGTTTTTTTATTCACTTTTTAGTCTGTGTTTAGACGAGCGTTTTGGGTGTGAAATCCGCGTGCAGATGCCCTTACAGAAAAACCACATGAGTTTCACATGTGCAAAAACACATGTGATCACATGTGACAATGTGGACATGTGATTTTGCACATGTGAAATTTAACATGTGAAATATGTGCAACACATGTGCTTTGCACATATTTCACATGTGCAAAAACACATGTGATCACATGTGACAACGTGGACATGTGATTTTGCACATGTGAAATATGTGCAACACATGTGCTTTGCACATGTTAAACATGGGAAACATGTGCTTTTGGAACATACCCCCATGTGAAACACATGTGATTACATGTGAAACCCATGTGAAACCCATATGATTACATGTGAAACCCATGTGATTACATGTGAAACCGTCGGATTGCATGTGAAACCCAAACCCATGTGATTACATGTGAAACCCATGGGATTGCATGTGAAATGTAAAATTCCCATATGAAATCCATGAGCTTACATGTACAACCTAAAATTCCCTTGTGAAACATTTATTCACATGTGAAACCCATGAGATATCATGTGAAATATAAAATATCTCATGTGAAACCCATGAACTATCCATGTTAAAGCTACACACCATGTAAACCTGTAACTTCATGTGAAATCCATGTAAAAACCATTAAGCAATATACCACAGAAAATGGTAGGCCTACCGTGTTCTTTTGTATGGTCTATAGCCTATAGCCTAATGTTTCCCAACATTAAACCAAATAATTCAAATTTACTTTTTATTTCATTTCAAAATATGCAATACAAATTGAATGTTTAAAACAAACAAAGCAAAACCAAATTAAAATTATACATAAAAAGCCACAAAAAAAAACGCAGGTACGCGCATGTCAGTTTGTGTGGTGTGCGTTTGTAAAAGTGTGTCTCAGTCCTTTGTGTCTTCTGCAGCAGGCATCCTGTTTTGGGATAGAAAAAGATCAAAGATTAGGGCAGTGCAAACCATAGACTGTAAAAAAAAAAAAAAATATGGACGCAGTGTCCATGACGTCACCCCGTAGGTTTCTGAAAAGCATTTTTGAAGCTTAAATTGAATGGGGCTTAATTAATTAAATAATTAATTTAATTATTATCCATTTGTAATATTATTATTATTATTATATTATTATTATGTCATTAAACATTCCGTTTTATTTTTTCCCAAATTCCGTTTTTTCCGTTTCAATTTTAGCAAATTCCGTTTTTTTTACCCTTTACTGTTATCTTAGTTGTAAAAAGAGTGTGCTTTTAATGTTAATGATTAAAATGTACACAAATAAAATAGGCATTTTCTCTTAAAATGACAAATACTGCATGATGCAGCATAACACGGTTATGAGCTTTAAACTGTCCTGTAAAATAAATTATATTAGTTTATATAAGTTAAAATAAAAGTCACACTCTAGCTGCGTCGTAATGTGCATACTATCCATCCTAAATAGTATGTGACATTAGTAACTGTCAATATTATTTCGGGCATAGTATGCACATTGGGACGCAGCTTCAGTCTCTCGCACGCACTATCGAGCGCTCTCTCGGACACACTCGGTCTCTCTCGTGCGCACTGTTGAGCGTGCTGTCTCTCTCTCGCGCGCGCTCTCTCGACTCGGACACACACTCGGTCCGGCACCTCATAGACAGACGTACACGGAGGGGACTTTGTGTGTGTGCGACGAGTTTCTTAACTTTTTCGTCGATGAAAGCAGAGCCGTGGAGAGCCGCTTCGCCATGCTTTCAGTGGAAACGCGGCTATTGTTTTGATGCAGTCATGAGCTGAAATGACGGGAGGGGTTGTGTCGCCCAGATTTGCTTCCCCGTCTCTCTGCATTTTCCCCAGACATACGTTCTTCTCCCACACAAAAAACGAATTTCATTCCAAATATGTAAAATTCTGCGAAATTCCGCGTTAACACTGGATTCTGCGTTAATTGGCCAATTCCGCGATTCCGTCCGCGATCCCGTGATCGCGAAAATTATAGGGCCCTACGTAAATATGCTATGAGCAAAACATGTTGGCAAACAGCAATGCCGTTTGCATCTTGCTTAAACAACTGTATAGAACGAGTGGTGCGTCTCATTTATAAAAAAAAAACAACTATTGACAGTTTGTGAATAGATCACAATGTAGACTGAGGAATAAACTGAGTCCTCAGTCCTCACTCATGACGGTTTCGCAAATGTAAACAGGCACATGGGGATCACACTTGGATGTTGGATCGTCTGAATATTACCTTTCTGCTCGTCTCCTCAGATCTTTTAACTTTTGTGCCATGCAGACCTTAATCTCAGTGCCTCCGATGCCTGGGTGCCTCTTTTTGATATGGTCTGTAAGAAATGAGATTGATTACATTAAAATTTGAAAACAAGTTTGTCATGACGTGACATAACTGCCAGATTCAAACTGTGCTTTTCACGCTATGGCTGTCGCTGACAGACGCGCTCAGTGCCATATAAAAACTATTGATAAAAGATATTCAGACATGCTTACCAATTATTAGCTGCACCTTTTGTAGGTCAAGGCTCTTTTTTCACCAACAACCCCTTTTTTCCGTTCATGTTGCCATCTCTTTGAAAGAGAAGATGGAGTCCATAAGAGTTCTGGTTAACTTTTTGTAACCCTTACATCTTTGAGCATGATCCAAACCAACTGGGTTCATTAAGTCAGTCACAGACTTGTTCTGCAAAGCAAAAAATAAAATAGAAAATTTTCGTCAGGACAGAAACCGTGATCTTTTCAACGTTATTACGTATTAGGTGAGGTTTTCACGTTGGAGCTGTGAGTGTAAATTTTAGCAAATTATTTATTGTTCATGCTCGAGTCTTGTTACTCTTTTACCTTCATAGTTATTCCAGAATTTAGGGGTAAAATGCGAGAAATCTCCTTTAGTGGACTTAGATATGCTGGGCACTACTCACTGATCTATATAAATGACTTGATTGCTCATGAAGTCATGTAAATTGAAGTCACCATATTCAATTGAATTAATAGGAAATCATCTGACTTTAATGAGAAAACATGACCTAACGAGTCAGTGTTTTTTATATTTGAATACTATACATTCTTACAATGTAAACATCCTAAACATTTCTAATTATTATCAATGTTAAAAACAGTTATGCTGATTATTGTGTTTTATGTAAACCATTGTAACAGTTTAAACCATTTTTCCCCCTCCAGGATGTATTGTTAAATAGACCACAAACATACTGTATGAAGGGTAGTTTACACTAATGTTCAAACATTTGCGGTCAATGATAGATTTAAAAATTAATAAAACAAAAAAAAGAAGAAATTAATATTTTTACTCAGGAAGAATGCATATTCAAATAAATGCAGTTATTTAAACCTTTCTATTCATCAAATAATCCTGAAAAACACAAAAATATGAAACAGCACAACTGTTTTCAACACTGATAATAATCATAAATGTTTTTTGAGCATCAAATCGTCATATTAGAATAATTTATGAAGGATGATGTGAAGCTGTGATGCTGACAATTCAGCTTTGATCACAGGAATTAATTGCAATATATTCACATTGAAAACATTTTTTTATTTATATTATTTCACAATATTATTTTTAAATCTTTTTTTTTTTTGTTAACATAAGAGACATAAACATTTGTACCAAGACAATTAGTATATGTTTGACATTAGTGTAGGTTTGACATTAGTGTATGTTTGGCGTTTTACTTACTAATCATATGGTTCATCAGTAGTGCTTTAGAGATGAAGATCAGCTCCACTTCAATACGTTGCAGGGCATCAGCACTGAAGGATCTAGGAACACAACAAGCCATTTGTCACTGAGCCAACAATGTTATTATACAATGCCAGGTTTATTAAAAGGAAAGAATCTACAGCAGAGGTGAAATGCAGAAAAGAGAAATAATTTAAAATACAGAATATAATTTCTTAACTAGGATAAAAGAATTTGTTTTTGGGTTTATTATTCATTTAATTTTGCTCATACAGTGTAACTTCATTTGGATGTCAAAACCTTCTTAAAATAAACAATTTAAAAATAATTAATTTGAGAAATAAAATGAGGTTATTTAATGAGCTTCCTCGGCTCACGTGTCCTAACGTTAACGTTACTTCTCTGGCAGCAGCTTTCCTCAGAAATGTTGAAGTCGTGGAGCTTTCTGTCTGTTATGGGTTATTTTGTTACTACAGAAATCACAGAACATTTTTTAATCAAAATGTGTTTAACGTTACCATTGAGCTAGCTAACGTTAGTTTCAGCCAATTTTATTGCTCCTGAAACTGAAAGTAACATCACCGATACGTTATGTTTATGTTTGTGTTAAATAAATTAGCTCACTTCCCAGTAAAACCCTTACAAAACCTCTCATCTACACATAAGAGGTGATTAAAATAAACTTTAATAAATAAAAGTTTAGCCGAGTTAACGTTACGTTAGCCTTGCTAGCTAGCCTAGCTGCTACCTCTTTAGCCTTGCTACCTCAGTACCTCTAACGGACTTTTTCCGAAGACACTAACGTTACACCATGTCGATAAAGTACATTTTTGTCAATTACAAGCAGGAGAAATGTAATAAAAAACAGTTGTGAGTATTATTCGTGTGCTTTTAGAGACTAATCTCACCTGAAAAAAGCCGTGAAAAGTTGAAACAACAGCGAGAGAGGGAGTTTCGTTGTTTACCAGAAGCAGTGGTCCCGCGCCGTTTCCATGGCAACTCTGCGCGCCGCCCGCTCCGGTGTTTGAGAGACTCGAAATTTCAAGGTGCACGGCATTGATTAAACCACGTCAAAATCATGCAGCACTTAAAACATATACTATACATGTACATATAATAAACATGTCCTGAAAGTGCTGTGTAAATAGAATATGAAAGCAGTAGCCTATTGATTATATCAAATATAAAATTATATTGTTGATTATGTAAACTATATTTATAATATAGCTTTAGAAATGGTAAACAGTGTTGAAATAAAAGTATTGCAATTAAAACAAACTTGATTAAAAACTATACGCTACATTATTATTAAAATATTTTCATGATGAATATATTTTCACATTAGTATAGGCATATGTGGGCCTAGGCCTACACATGCATTATAAGCTTTATGTTCTGCATTTTGTGTGAATAAGGCTAAAAATGTACAGTATTTGTGACGTGGTAACATAATTCACATGTTAAAACCTATTACAACGTGCAAATATATTTCACATCAGCTCCACATTATTACCTATAACATGTTTTCCACATGTGCCACGTGTTCCATTAAGTTCACATGAGGTGACATGATGTTCACATGTGGTCGAACATTACTCATGTGGTGACATGTTGTTCACATGTGGTGAAACATTGTTCACATGTGGTCGAACATTACTCACATGTGGTGACATGTTGTTCACATGTGGTGAAACATTGTTCACATGTGGTGACATGTTGTTCACATGTGTTCACATGTGGGCACATGTGGTCACATGTGGACACATGTGGTCACATGTGGAAAACATGTGATAACATGTGAAATTCATGTGTTTTTTCTGTAAGGGTGGTGACGCAAAAGTCTGTGAAATTCAATGTAGTATGCACTCCAGGCGGCAAAGAGTGCATACTACAACACGACCAAGTCCGCGCGCCTGGGTACAACCTTCACTGTCAAGCAGACCTTTGCGTTTTTACCATTTATTACACGGGAATGTGGCGGTGGAGCGTTTTAAAGATTTCCACTCTGGAGGGTGGTTTTACTTTTTTTGCGTTTTTAAGCCCCATGTAAACGAAAGGCACATCCGATAAAATATTTTTACGTTTTTACCCGCGAGCGTTCTCGTGTAAACAGGGCCTGACGAAGAGAAGTGTTTTCAAAAGACAGCCAGCGAACAATAAATTTAACCAACAACATGAAAGTTATTGAGTTTAATATTCTGGATGACCAGCCGCAGTCAAAACTGAAATGTCCTTTATTTAACAAAATTGTGTATTGATCTTCAGTTATAAAGAGATTATTTTCTTATATTATTTATATAATCTTTTTAGATTCCTAGATTTATTTGTTGCACTTTTTTATATATAGTTATTTTGTAAATCTTAAATACCTTTTTTAGTTTACTGTATTAGATGTGTAGCTGCATTTTAAGTTCTTTTTCACTTAAAGGTGCCATCTAACATCATAAATCAAATCCTACTCCATATTCCATAACAGATGGGGGCAGTATACCTCCAAAAAATGACTTGTGCTCCTACCATCGCGCATGTTATTCAAATCATTTGACATGATAGTAAAAGGTTGGAAGACCGCAGTTTCACGTGGAACATTTGGAGATTTTTAGAGATCAGAGACTCAATGAACTAAACACTAGAGTGAACTAAACTAAACACTATGAATCTCAACACTAAATGATGAAGACCGCCTCATAGATCTCAAAAACAAGCTGGTGCATTTCGACGGTATGGGAAAATAAAAGCTTGGGCAATTATTTGAAGTTATGGTATTCGTTTTGTTCATATTACACTTTTATTGTTAGTGAATTAATTTGACAGACAGCATTCGCTGATGTTGATCAAGCTTTCACCGTGAGACACACGCAATTGACACTTAGCAAGCAGGTTAGTTAAGCTCTCAGATTCTGTCAATTATATTACGCAATTCAAAGAATAAATACCGTTTTGGCGCTTGTACATGTTACACTACCAGTGTTGGGAGTAACGCATTACAAAAGAAATACATTACAGTAACATATTACTTTTTGCTGTAACGCAGTAGTGTAAGGCATTACTAATCAATTTTCAGTAATATTTTACTCGTTACATGTTCAGTGAGGCTTGTATTACAGTTGTATTACAGTGTATTGTCTGCTTTTACTTCTTAAAGGCAACAGACTGTGTGAAAGTTTTAAAGCAGTCTTTTAGTGCCAGTTCAGAGCGGTCGCGTCTGTAACATTGTTTTTTCCTCATAATTGCGAACACGAAAACTAAAATAAAATGAATATTTTAAGTTATATGGAGACTGGAGAGCCAACCCTTCCTCATCCGATTTGCGCAGTGTAATTAACAGAATTACAAAAAATATATTTTGCCTCCTATTTTTTTTGTCACACATGAATGTGTGTCTTTTCCCTAATATTAAAAATAAAACATAGACTGATATTTGTCTAATGCCTGGAGTCCTTTAAGGAAGTAGCCTATATACGTTTCAATACATGTATTTTCTGAGAATTTTTATTTCAAGTTTTGACTGCAAATGTCATGTCCATAATGCTGGACTTCCCCAATTTTAAATAATTTATCCTCAACTAGTTTTGTGGTGTAGGTCTACGTATTTTATAATGTTAACTTCAAATAATACTAATAGCCTAATTTAAAGATAAGGCAGCATTGGATCTGGACGGTAAGGAGAATAACGCTGGAGTTGGAAGGTGTTTCGCGATTCTGTAGGTTCGTGGATCTGAATGCGGCGAATCGCGATTTCGGTTTCATATTGCATATCGTTACAGCCCCAATGTTAAGTTCTACTTAGTTATTTTGGTGAAAGTAACTGAAAAGTAATACATGAGTAATGTAACGCATTACAATTCTGAGACAGTAATATTGTAAGGTAATGAATTACTTTTAAATAACAGTAACAAGTAATACCTAATGTATTACAGTTTGGAAGTAACTTGCACAACACTGTACACTACAGATCCCTAGCGCACGTGAACCGATCGTCTCTACTAGCTGGAAAAAGAACCCGAACACTGTTGAAAGATACAGTATGCTACAACTTACCAAAATGTATTCCTCATGCATAATGTCGACCAATCATTTTTTGAACTCTTCCCTGAACTGAAATGTAGTAATTGGCTGTATTTCCACACGACTGACATCAGGTTCAAGTACACACAAGCCGGCGCGAGCGCGACTCACTCGTCTATTGCAGTTTGGCTGGTGCTAACGTTGCCCGTCCGCATACCGCCTCCCATGGCCGGAACTGGTATTACGATACCTGCCGGGCCGGGGCTAGTAATTTAGCATGCTAATTCAGGTTAATATCTCGGCAGCACTATAACTTGTCAGTTTTTTAATGACATCTTTGCACTTATTTCTTCTCATTCTTTTGATGCGTGTAGCTCATTTTTCGTATATTGTTACCTCAATTATTACATATGCCACCTTTAAGATAAATATTGCTATGAAATGTAATTCAGATAATAAAAATTACTCTAGTACGCTCTATGTATTTTTTCATGTTTAATTTAGGGATAAGTTTGAAACACACCATAATAATTCTATCAATTCATACAGGGCTAGAATGAATTACAGCTGAATAGATACTATACACACCCAGGTATCGGATCGGTACTCGGTATCGGCCGATACCCTGAGTCCAGGTATCAGAATCGGTATCGGGAAGAGAAAAAGGGTATCGGAACATCTAGTGCTTTGTAGGTAATTACAAAGTAGAACCGGGCTAATATGGTCATACTTCCTGGTTCTGGTACGAACTTGAGCTGCTGTGTTTTGGACCAGCTGTAATTTGTTTATTAAGCGTGCCGGGCAACCACCTAGTAGAGCACTACAATAATCTAACCTTGAGGTCATGAACACATGAAGTAATTAATTTTTTATATCAGCTATGCGTTCCGTTAATTTTGTGAATTGGTAAATTTTGTTTAATGATTATAATGAATGAGCAGGTGCATATAACATCTGGCACATCAGTTAGTAATACATAGAAATTGCTCTAACATTTTCTGTGATTATAAAATATATCCAAGTATAACAAAAGATAAAATGTACAAATCAATAATCCCAAGTAATAAAGTACAGTTATTTCAAATAATATTAATAAATTGTTACATTTATATAGAAGGGGGGAATCGCCCTGACTGCACATTTCACACTCGGGAGTTAGATTTTTTTTTAAAAATTATAATTATCCAAAGTATGTTATCATTGTTAAATTGTTACTCTTCCATGTGCTTTCAGGCTGCAGAAGCATTCTTGGTCCGTCTGTTTTCTGATGCCAACCACTGTGCTATTCATGCCAAGAGGGTGACATTGTATCCACGTGACATTCAGCTCGCCCGGCGAATCAGAGGTGTTGAACATATGTAAAGTTGGCTGTTTACGCTCTTTTTTTTTTTTTTTTTTTTGGATTTGACCAATTTTCTTCCAGACGTGTAAATGTATGGACACTTTATATATTTCCTGACATGTAATCTTTTATTTCAGACCTCAAATCATTTGTTAAAACAGATGCATATATGTAACCATAGAAACCAAATGTTTGTACCAAAATGTGTAAATGTTTGTGTGGAATTGTATTGGTGACAAAGGAACTAATTTGTTAAACATTTCTTTAGAAATGTTATATAAACATTTTATTCTGTATTGTGTTCTTTTTCTGAGGATGTTTGTTGTTAATAAATAGATGTTTTGTACTATTGCTGATTATTCAAATAATTTTAGCAGCTGTTTTGGGCAGTCCATATCAGAAAAATTGGATTTGGCATCCATGCTAAATTGTTGCATAAATTAGTTGGGCTTTGATTTCCTCACACTCCTAAGTACCACATTGTCAAAAGTTAATTATACAACAGTTAATTTCAGTCATTTTATTTACTTAGATGCCAAGTGAAGTTTGCAGTTGGGTCGCAGGAGCTTGTATGCTTTTAGGTCAAATATGGATATGAAAAACCTTTTCATAGGTAGTTTCTAAGAATGCTCCAAATGATCGG